CAGAAGCAGGTCAATTTTATCAGCTTCTACAAGCAAGGGGAAAGGAAAAATAAATAATAAAATATCTATATAAAAATAATATTAAAAAAAAAAAGAGAGAGAAAGAGAGAAGTTGTCTTGAAAACTACATCTTCTAATCATTACTGCAGTGTGACACACTGTCTCCTCATGAGCAGCATGACTTGGGATGCATGATGACAGGTAATTCTTGATTCAGAAAGAAATCGTCAGTGCACTCTCATTGTCAGAGAAGGACATGGATGTTCAGCTGCAACACAGCATATTACTGAAACATTGCATAAAATCCCTTTCTGCCAAGATTTCAGAAGCCTGATTTAATATTCCCTCTGCTTTGACGTTATAAGGGTGGTGATGAAGATTCTCCAGTTTCAACAAAATTACAAGGCTTTCACTCCTTATTATCATCCACTTCTAGCTAGGAAAGGTGCAATGGGGTATATGCATCAAAAGGTGGCTAAGGTTCAACCACAAAAGTTTTTCGTCTGCTAATCCACAGAGGCAATGGGAGTCTGAAGGAAACGTCTGCCTTCTTTTAATCACTGTAAACTGATCAGCAGCTACTGCTGGCTAATACTGTGATTGTTAGACCAAGAGATTACTCCCATTTGCTTGTAGTATATGCTGTGAAGCAAAGCATGCCCACTGCTTAGCTTCACCACTGGCCCCTTTTTGCATAGCGGGGATATTTTGCTTAATATCATGCATGTGTTAAGGGAAAGCTTATTGTAAATTTATTGCAAGAAGTGCAGACAAAGGAAGACACTGGAATTGTAGGTGTCCATTGCTGATGCTACTTACACCAGGAGGACCTACTAGAGGCAATATTTAACTTTTGCTTTTAGTTTTCCTTAGAATTTTAGTAATCTCTGGAATTATATATTTTGCAGAAAAATTATTGCCTTTGGCTGACAAAGTGGGAGGTCTGGTTACTGTAAGGACATTAGGGCTGAACTGCTAGCTATGGAGTTCTGTGGAGGCTGATAAAAAGAGTTGCAAGAAGCACTTAATGGGGTAAAGTCAGCCTAGAAGGGATAAGCTATTAAAAGGGTCACAGGAAATATTAAGTTATTGTAAGGTCAAAATGCATTAAAGCCATCAAAGGGAAATAGCTGTTAAATAAAACAGAGAATTTAGCAACTTGTGAGTCCCTTTCAGTACATAGAAGAATTGTGTACATTTTGTATGATGTTCCGTGCAACACCCGTGTTTTATCTTGAAACCTGCAGCTCCTAGTTACCTTATCAAAATCAACCCTCACCTGAAATATAGCGTGTAATCATGCTTTTTCTTTAACCTGCATTATCAACTTCAACATAGGCTTACTTTATCTAACTTCCCAGTTTCAGAAAGCATAATGTCATGGAAATCCTTTCTAGTTTTAAACTGTGGCCTTCACACCCTTTACAGCATTGAGTAACACTGCTGCATATGAAATTCGGTGCTTCAGTTCTTACTGAAGAGCACGGAAATGCTGACGTTAACACCGTGGGGAATGGGATTAGGGCTTTAGCGATGCCTGCTGACTGCCAGTAAGCTTGCACCCAGGATATTTAGGTAGAGGAAGGCCCCCTCCAACCGCAGCGATATGCCCTATCAAACTGTAACAAAGGGAAGACACAAACGTGTTTACATGAGTTCCATTAAGGCTGGTTCCCAAGGCAGGTTGAAAACCTATCAAACCACTGTTGTCTTTGGGTCAAGATGCTAGGCATTTTTCAAGGGGAGGGGAGAATAAAGAAAGGTAAGTCTTTACAAAGTCATGCCAGTGCCTGGGAGGTTTACGATAATTTGATTTGCTCTCCTAGTGTCTGATAATTTATTTAGTTTTCCTATGAGAGGCTGTAACATTTTTGTTTGCTATTTTGAAATTGGAGCTCCTCCACGGAGGCCAAGGAGTGGGACTAGAAAGGATCAGAACTAGTTATAATCAACAAATGTTGAAGTCTGCCTGATGGGTATTGAGATGGGAGTGTATTTCAGAAAGTTAAAGAAAGGTAGAACAAGGTAGAGATGTCAGACAGAAAAAGGGGAAGAGACAACATGGCATATGTTTACATAAAGGTGCCTTCTGAATTCCTTGAAAAGACAAGAAAGTGTCTGCCCAGCAGGGCAAAGAGCCAAAACTGCCCCCTCCAATGCAGAGCAAGCTTGGCCCTGATCCTCAATTTCCCACTTAAGCACTTCCCTCAGTTAACTTGGAATTGAACTCCCTTGGATTTATTGCCTAAGTGAGAGATGCCGTAAGCGATAAGCAATGTAAAAGAAGTTAGTGCTATACTTTCATGGTTACTTGTTCATTTGTAAGGCAGTTGAACAAAGACAAAAACAGATCCCAAGTTGAAAATCAGTTTGAACTCTCATGTTTTACTCAGGCCAAGACTGGACCTCCCACGTTACGTAAAGCTTTACTGAATTACAATGCAAATTGAGCTGGAACAAGCTCAGTTATGCATAAACTGAAAACCAAAACTGAATCAAAAAGCACAACAGTTTCATTCCCTGTAATTGAAGGAAGCATCCGTTGTCAGAGAATTTTTTAAAGTCTGATATCAGAACAAAACCACTAGCATTATCTTAAAGTGCAATTTTTTGTATAAGGTGAAAAGCACATAAAAAAGTTAAGGGACAAAAAAAATAGAAATCCCTGTTTGAGTATTAAGTTGCTTCTAGTTATTTTTTCTTGGCTTCATTTAATATTGGTGAAGAGAGGAAGACAGTCTCTTCTGATGTCCAAATGAAATTCTTGGGTTTCAATATGATGGTCTTGGGACAGCAGATTAGCCATGAGTGTGTTATGGTCTTTGAATATCACAAAGCTTAGGGTCATCTGAAATCTAGATCCACATTTTATGATTTGGGGTGACATACAATATACACATATACCCAATATACAGCTGGGGGACAGAAGCCTTATTGATGATGTGAGATGAAAAGGGGGAGAAAAAGAAAGTGGAGGTGGGGGAGAGAGAAGATGAATTCAGAGTTATGGTTGCCATAACTCTTTAAACTCATCTAGGTTTTGATGAGTGTTGCAAGACTTTTTGATGGTTCAGCAAGAACTCTAGATCCCTGTTAGCCTTAGTAAGCAGAAGCAAAGATTATAGCATGGATCAGAAGAGGTGGAGAAAAAAGGGCAAAGAGGGTGACAGTTTAAGGGCTTAAATCCTAGCAGCCTTCAATAAGCATGGGTAAATCTGACCTGCCTGAGGGCAGGTCACCGTGGTGAGATCTGTGAGTGTTGGCACAGAGCAAACCTCAAATGTAGCAGCCAAACAAGAGCAGCCATGTGGCTCTAAAAGCTGCCAGTGCAGCAGTATCTGCGCCAAAGGAATAGAGCAAGTGACCAGGACACAAAGACCTACAAAAGCAATAATTCTGTGCATCATATTATTCATGTTCATAATTATTCAGGGAAATAATTAAGGTATCTAAATCTGCTTATCTAAAGATGTCTGATCATATACCTAAGTGAGGAACAGGTTATTCTCCCTTCAGATAACAGTTGATGGGTTTTTGCACGCCATTTTTTGAACATAACTCCTATTTTGTGGCTGTGGGGTGGGTTCTGATACTTTCAGAGCCCTGTAAGTAGAAATGTCTTGAAAGCCGGAATTACTACAGCATCACTATTCAAGTTGTCATCTTACCGCTGATGTGCCAAAAGTCAGCACAACCTTAAGGCTAAAAAAAGCCTAAAGGTACTGTAGTGCTACATTTTAGCTGCCAGCCCCCTCAGTACCTGCAGAACATGTAGCCTGCTCCCTATAGAAGAGCTTGGTGCTCAGCAAGTTCTCTTGGTGCTCCACACAGGGAGATGATGATTGCTGCTAACAGCAACGGGACACTGGAAAATCCCATTGTGCCCACAAAGCTTGAAAATGGCAGAAGCTATTCCACACAAACATTCTCCAAGCCTCAGCCAGACTCCTGACTCTCATTCTCTAATCCAACCATTGCTAGTTAACACAGCTTCCTTTTCTTCCACTCAATTATCAAATACAAACACCTTCTTCCATGTAAGAGGCAAATCATTCCATCACAACAGCGCTGTCATGTCTCTAAATTGCAGCACCTCTTATGGGTCCTTCCCCGAGTTACTGTGACAGACAAGGAGAAAAAGCAGGCGAGAACTTTGGGTATATGCATGTGGCATCTACCACATTTTCCTATCTCAAAGCATTGCAGTCACAGCATTTGTTGTGTTCAGACTGCAGATGTTTGATTTGCCAAAACAGTGAGATCTTACTGTTGGGTGTTGATAAATACAGGGCCTGATGTCAGATGCAAAAATTAGCAATAGGATTTTCAATGAAATCTAACAGAAAGTTGTCTGGTTTCTTCTGGTTGAAGGAACAACTCAGCTTTAGCATCTTACACATATGAATCAGTATTATAAAAAGGTAAGTGCCTTAACAACTACAAGTGCAAAAAAGTCTACTTAGTCTTTAAGTTTAATTGAGCACAAAGTTGTTACACAAATTTTCTGAAGCCGATCTATCCCATTAAGCCCATTGTTATCCAAATATACATCCGAGAATATGTTTTCCAACCAGGAAGGGAAAGCTTTAACTAGCATTTGGTCTGTCCATAGCTGCCACAAAAAAAAAAAAAAAAAAAAAAAAAAAAAAAAAAAAAAAAAAAAAAAAAAAAAAATCTTACTTGTTTTTATTGTTTTTACATGTTTATCTGAGAATCCTTGTAAGTAACTCGTCTCTCATGCTTCTATGCTTCTGATGAGGCAGCTTTTACTGGAGATTAACCAAGACCTTCTACACAGAGCTCAACATATTCCAGAAAGATGTATGGGAGATACCAAGCCTCTGAGTTTTAGATTCTCAAATCCAAATTACTTTCCTGTTTTTGTTGTTTTTTTTTTTATTATGACCAATCAAACCTTATGAAAAGATGTTTATAAGTCTCTAGTAAAATCTTCCTTTTTTTCCCAGCTGCCATGTTCTTCATTTGATATGTATCTGCAGGTGTCTGCGATCCCATGTGCGTGAACGGAGGGAAGTGTGTAAGCCCAAATGTCTGTGACTGCCCATCTGGTTGGAGAGGGAAACACTGTAATAAACGTAAGCATTTCTACTGCCCATCAAACAGATCATTGCTTATTACTTAGGCCAGTCAACATCAATTGTAATCTTCTTTTAATATTAAAAAACAATATAGTGCATAGAATTCATTTTGCTCCTTCAGCAGTTTGAAGAAAAACAATTTTAAGCACAAGCAATACAAAATGCTATAAACATTTGATGCATGCAAAGGAAAAAAGCCGTGTAGGGGAACCCTGGTTCTGCTTCATTCAGCTGTCTGTTACACATCTTGTTATGGAAATTCATTTTTATAGTATTAAACTTGAAGCATTTATTTTATGTTTTAACAGCTTCACATATTTTGTTATATTTTACAGAGAAATGCCATATATTTCAAAATACAGAACTATTTAAAGCCTGCTATAAAGCCTTCCAAACTGATATACTCTCAAGGTCACCAGATACATTTTGGTGCATAATTTCAAGAAAGATGTGCTCTCACTCTGTAACTCTACCATATCTGACTACTCTTACATAAAACTATCATTAAAAAAAGAAAACCTCTCACCCTAAAATATTTTCAAGGAGTATTTTTCCTTATGTGGTTATTCATTACCATGATGTTGACAGATAAACTGAATAAATTTATAATCCAGATGATATACTGTATGCAAACCAGATTAAAATATTGGATTTTTACCCTTTGGGTCCTGGTAGTAAATATGATTTCGGAACCAGTGGTTTGAAATTATAATATTAACAATTTCTTTAGAAATTCTGCAGGAAGTCTATGTCTCTCACTTTTTTGGAAACTCTGAATAAATAATATATACACTGAACGTACGAAAACATACTATGCAATTCAATTTACTTATAATGTGGAACACATTATATGCATATAACACATAGGAATATACCATATGAACATATCATATGGGGAGTATTCTTAACTAATAGTGAGCTGAATGTTAGAAATAGCCAAGCTACCAGTAGGTAGTCATCAAAGATATCTTAAGAAAGAAGTAAATATCAAAGAATCCTACACACAAATTATCTGATGAATAGAGCACATGCATTCCTTTGGAAATTAGCCATTTGAAAAGAAACTGAGCAGGTCACTCTTTCAGGCATATTTTGAACGTCTGGATATGTTGTTTACATCTTCTCACTTGTTTCATGTCAATCTGTTCAGCTGTTTGCCTGCAGAAATGCCTGAACGGTGGTGAATGTATAGGTCCAAACATCTGTGAGTGCTCTGAAGGATGGGTAGGAATGCTGTGCCAGACCCGTAAGTGCTGCTCTAATTATGACAGTCTTGTAGCCACACATGTTGCACCAGAGATCTTTACACATTAACTCTTCTACTGTGTTTACACTACATGTAAAAGTCAACCATAAGATGATTAGTACCTAAAATCTGCCTCTTATTTGTCAGAACTGTCGTATGCTGTCAGTAAAACTATTATTTTCAAAGACATTTCTGGACTCAACATCTGTGTGAGGAAGAGAACTGACAACCTTTACTTACGCAAATGCTGAGCTCGATTTGCCAGACAATATTAATAGGTTTTAAACTCAATGATTTGAAAGACTAAATAAAAAAGAGGGGTCAGGGACAAAAGGAAATGGAGTGTCCTCTTAAGCATACCCAGATGGCATTAGCATAGGAAGACACCAGGTACCTGTTAACCTAGGAGCCTAATCCTGCAAGCCCTACGCATTCGATGTGACCGTTGAGGTGGCTTTGTACATGCAGGGACTGAAAAAGCTGGAAGAGCCCCTTTATTGGCCATTATACAGGGTCACTTCAGTGTGTGCATGTTATTAGCTTTACGGTAAAAGAGCATGAAGAAAATATCAAGACATTATACCCTTTAAAGGGTAATCTTCCTTTCCTCTCACACTCACAAAGCATAATTACTTATGGAAATCTTTTGTCAGTTAAATCCCAATGGTTGTGTAATTGTTTCTTTGCACCAGCTGTCTTCTAGTTCAAACATTGTAATGTTTAAAGTTATTTATTAGTTGATAACATATCCCTGGTTCAGTTTATTAAATAAATAAGCAAATCGTGCTTGCTCCTGCGCAAGGCAAGTAAGACTTACTATCATTACCAATTTCTGCTGTACTATGCAGACACACAAGCCTGGGCATTTTTTTAATCTATATAATCAGCTCCTTTGAAACTTTCCTTCAGATCTGTTCAGTTGATAGCCACTCTGTTTTTACTATTTCTTCCCATGCCACTGGAGTGGGCAATTAAATCAGCTCTCTGTCCAAAAGGAGCTGCCTGAAACTCCTAGGTCTCACAGCAAACCCAAATAATCACCAAGTGGTTGGAATTTCACTATTTTTTAAACAGAAAGAGAGACAACTATTGTCAGAGAGCAGATGGCTAGGTCTTATAATGTTGCTCCAGGGTATTCACAATGAGGCAGGGAGGAACCAGGAGAACCAGAAAGTCTTCATCCTCACAGATGTTACATACAAAGTTTTGCATGAAAGTATAACCCCTAAAAGCATGTCTGGTTTTGTACTTTGACAAAAAAATGTATTTATCTATCTGAACTCAATGAGTCCTCGCAGTGCCACCCTTGTTCAGAAGCAATTTGGGCTGGTTTGTGACTCTGGGACTTGTTCAGGTGTAGGAGGAAGGTAGATAACCCCAGCTTCATTCTTTGTTTTCAGCCCATGCTCTCGTGCAACTGCCCTTATCAAGATGGCAGAGATGGGAATGTAGATGCAGGTTGCATCCCCACACTGAACACCATTTTTCCTCACTAACTTCCTATCACATATCTGGTAGGGTGACCAAACCAAAGGATCTATAGGAACTCCCATTACTATTTTCTAGACATTTCTCAGAAAGAAAAAAAAAAAAACTGTTTCAGTCCTCTGTACCAAGACAGATAGCCAGAACAGGCCATTAGGCCAGCAAAAGAGACAATGGATAAATACTGAGAATTGATCTTGTTTTTTTTTTCAGTTCTTTTGCAATGAAGATTGCCACTGTCCAAGTCAGAAAAAAAAATATCTCAAGTATTTTGAAAATGCTTCAGAGATCAAGATTGAACTTTGTTGTCAGGTGTAGCAACACAAGTTGTGGAGCTTGTATCTGATTTGGAATGAGTCTGCTGCATGTTGGAGGAACAATCATGCAAGCAAAAACCTTGCCTCTTTTGCAATGATGTGCAATGAAATTACATTTCCATTTAATGTGGTGAACTACAAATTTCTCAATGTTATGATCAGTCAAACTTGCAGTGACATTGCAGAGATGCCTGTGCAGGTTGTTTTTCTTACAGTTTTACCAGTCTCTGGCAACTGCTGCACTGCAGAATTTGGCAAGAGTAAGAGTAGGTTAAGAGACTTTCAGGAGACATTGTTTCAGCAGTAATGGATAAAATGCAATAGTTCTCTTTTATCAGACTGTAAATAAAGAGGTCAGTCGAGAGAATAGTTTTCTTCCCCACTCATCTGTAACTGCACAGAATAGCTTCTGAAAGAGAATCAATAAAATAGGTCATTTGTCCCAACAAATACGGTGTACGGTGGAATACACACATTATCTTTGATAAATACCTATGACTTTATGGCCATAGACGGTCATAGAACAAGGAATAATGGTCAAGTCTCAGACAGTATTGCAAATGTAAGGAAATTACCTTTCAGGAAGACAGGTTAAAAAAAATGTCATTTGAAATATTCAACGTGCCTTACCCAGAGAAAGTAGCAGCTCCACAGATTAGGCTCCCTCCATTACAAGATTTTTTCTCTTTGACTCCCTCATTAGCTCTCATAACAGCAGCACAAATGTTCTAAAAATTCCTTCTTGGAAAACACAGGAACAGTATCGCAGGATCTCCATGTTTTCCCAAAAAATTATCTCCTTCCCATCTGAGCTCAGACACCCATTCTAAAGCTCCATGCCTGTGGGTTCCCCCTGCATCCTTCACTGTTAGCTCACATCTCCCTTTTTCTTGAGCTCAAAAAGAAATATTAGACCAAGGCAGTGAAGACCTAATGGTACAATCTGACTACCCTGGTAGATTTAGCCAAAATACAACCCAGCAAAGTCATAAGGCTTCTGGCCAGAGATATGAAGCAGTTGTTTAAGGATCAGAGTGCAGGATCAAGGTATAACTCTAATAATTAATTATAAAGTATAAGAAGGTTAGAGTTGTGAAGGATCTTCGTCATTAAAATTCATGCTGCTATCTTCTGTTCTAATATTATTGAACCCATACTGCCTTCTCATTTGCCCTTCAGAATATCTTCTCTTTATTTGCATGTTATAAGTGTCAAGCTTATAGCCTTATAATTTCCTCAACATTCTTGCTCCTTCTCTCTCTCTCTGTCTTGAACAATATGTCAGACAGGCTTGCTTCTAGCTTTCCTGTGTAACCCTTTCAATCCTTAAAAAAAGAAAAATCATAAAAACGATTGCCATTTGCATGCAAATTATAGTTCTGTTCTTTTAACATCCAGGGATAAATCTCTTTCTGTAATGGGCATTTATTGATTATAATTTTGTCATAAGCTTAGCTTATTAAATGACTTTCTGTGCTGAATCTGTACAGGATAATGCACACATAGCCTGTGTCATTTTCAGTGTTTAGAGGCTTAGCATCCCTTGTAAATACATTTATGAAATATTCATTTGAACTTCAGCTATGTTATTATCCTCTGTGATTTCAATTCCAATTTTCTTCCAAAATGTTTTTAACTTTTCTCCAAACTGAGCTTTTGTTTTTTTCTGAGCACTACAGCAGGAAGCAGTGGGTGGAGAGGGAAAGACAAGCAGGTAGCAAAGGATAAAGAAGTAGAGAGTCTTTTCCTTTTTTTTTTTTTTTTTTCTTTGTTTGCATTATCTGAGAATCAAAGTAACTAGAGATGAAAAGAAAAAAAAAAAAAGCCTGGTACCTTATCTAACATCTGTTTTTCTGCCAGTGCAGACCAGAACACCCCTAGCAGAGTTAGAGATCTCCAGAAAAGTCTACCTCTCTTTTCCTTACCTGGCTTCATTTTATCCACTACAAAGAAGAAATGAGAATTAATTTCCATTTTACCTGTGCCCAAGTTCATATCAAATTATATGTACTAATATCAGACACGGTTCTCTCTCTTCTAGAACAAAAGCTTACTATACAGTGGAACAAAACTGGTATGAGCACAAGGAGCCCCTTCTGCTGTAAATGCACACACTAGCAGAAGGTGGAAAGTGTTTTGTTGTTTTATTTTCTCTTTTTTCTTTCTTTATTTTTTTTTCTCCAATGAATGAAATTTGAGATTTTTCTGGTTATAAATGAGTTCTTTCAGCCTATGGAGAAGCTGAGGAAGCAGTTGGAAGGTGAACAGTATGCTGTTATACATCCAGTGTGATTTCATTTCTCCTCTGCCCCATCCACAGCTGGGATCACACTTGGGCTTCCCCCTCTCAAAAGTAATTCAGAGTTTGCAGCTGCCCATTGTGGGTCTTGGGGATTGTTTTACAACAGATAAACCAGCTGCAAATAACAAAACCAAGTTTGCTTCTTGTTTCAACAAAAATGACACTTTTTAGCTTTCCAAAATAGATAGCTTTTCAAAACTAGCATTTCAAAACTAGTTGATCTTTAAGCTCCCTTCCAACTCAAACCACTTTATGATTCTATAATTCTAAAATAGCAGAAGTATTTCAACTAGCTCTTACAGTAGGAAGTCAAGCTGCTAGCTGCAGGTCACTGGAGTCCTACAACAGAAAACCACCTGGCACAGCTGGCTTTTGAAAAGGATCACCTGCAGGTCCCCAGCACGTTCCTCTTCTATACATGGTATGGGTCAGCAGTTTTGACAAAAGCACGAACCCTCACTTAAACCACAAAGAATTTGCATGAGCTTAAATTTGTGTCAAAATCAGATTCTAAGACCAACAAATCCTGGAATTCATTCTTTTATCTCCAGAATTTGTTGAAGTTGATTTTCTGTAAAAAGCCCCTTGTAGGGATACATTAAACTTTTTCAGATCTGACCAAATACTTGGCTCAGTAGTGAAGGAGATGGTATTGGAGCATAGACATACTTTATGTCTTATGCTTTATTGACATATAATGGCATATACTTTATATTCAGATCTTAATGGTGCATGGCTACCTGCTTTCCTATATGGCTCTCTCTGACAAAAAAATATAATAATCCACTTGTTGATATTTATTTGGCAATATTTATAGAAGTCTTAACTCATGAGATCTAATTAAAATACTAAGGGGTGTGTGTTCTGCTTGAATTGGTGCCCTATGAATTGGCTGTTGTCTTTCCTCTATGCTAAAACAATGTCATAATAACATAAACTATATGAACTGAGCATGAAAAAATGGTTGAAATTTGAGTAATTCAGTTGATAATCTTTTTATCTCCTAAAAAAAAAATAAAAATAAAAGCACGGATTCTTTTATTAACAGAATATCTTTAAATGGATAAATGATTTACATCAAATAAATGTACTCTATAAGTACTCTAGATAAGATTAAAAACTTTTATTCTGATTCCTTTATTGATTCTTTGAGACCGTGAAATTACATGCCCTTGTTTCCAGAGATGTGAAGTACGCAACTCACAAAATTCTCCCTTTTATTTATTGTAATAATATCACTTTGGGGAGTAAATATTTAACCTATCTTTGCATCTCAAGACAAGAAAGGATCTTTTAACAACTGTTATTATATTTCAATTGGAACAAAAGCAAGTCGATTTTGACACGAATCTGACCCAACCATTGATGCCCAGAACGTATCCTGGCTTTCCAGATCAGGACTTGCTCTGATCCGTTTCCTGCTGAGCTAAGGTGATTATTTTGGCACTCTTCTCTTTCCCCATCATTGTGGAGAAGAGATAAAGAAAGAAAACTGTAAATGTAACAGACACATAAGCATGAAAAATCCTGTGGCAAACATTTTTAATGCCTGTGTATTTTTTGTCCTTTTCTCCATCATATGAAACTACAGAACCATGATATATTTTGTCATATCATTGTCATATCAGTTTTTAAAGCATCTGAGTATTTCCTTTCTGATTACAACGTTTAGAGTAAGTGTATTTCTAAACAATTTTATCTTTCACTTGTAGCAATTTGTGAGCAAAAATGTCTGTTTGGAAGCAGATGCATAAGACCAAATGTCTGTGCTTGCAGAAGTGGCTACACTGGCTCAGCATGTGAAAAGAAGGTAAGGTATCAGCCAAAACCATTGGATTCTTATAGTAAGGAGGAAAAAAATAGCTGAATGTAACAGAAATAGTTTACAGGAAAAGTTCTTGATAACCTTGTGAAAGATGTAAATAAGGTTATAAAGGAGTTTAAAGGAAGTTTAATGACTGCTAAGCTGCCAAACTAACCCCGTACACAAGTTCTGCATGTAATAGTTTAATACCTCAAATATAAACATACAAAAGCCGTGTCTATTTTGATAGTGAGGGTTGTCCTTAATACAGTTCTCCTGTCCAAAGCCACTAAGCATCTGCACAGTAAACAGTTCTCCTGGCCAAGGTGGGATCTGCCTCTCTCCTCCAAGTAACTTCCTTAGAGGCTCTTATCCACATGAGCCTTTTTTGGTGCCTGCTGCTCCACCACCAAACGGGTGCACCCAGACATGCTCAGACAGAGCCATGGGTGCTAAATCCCTGTACCCTTTCAACAGGAATGACAGACACTTAAGTGACACTTTTTTTCCTAATCTGCACACCCTTTTCCCCAGTGAACCTTCTCCCTTCCACAGTCACAAACATCCAAAATATTTCATATGATTGCCACTGTCAGGGGCCACATTTTCAGGCCACAGTCACTTCCTGCAAATGCAGCCCTATCCCACTCCAGTGGCCCAACTTTCCCAGTCTCCAGCTTTCAGAAGGGCAGCCTGCCCTCTCATTTACCTGTACACAAAGGCTAGAGGAAAAAAAAATCAACATATTTTCATTTCAATTACATTATGCAGTAGATATAGCATGAAAATCTCTTCAGATAGTCACTTTATTCTGCTAATGATAATTAGATTTTAATATCATAATTAAAGCTCTGTATGGATTTCCTTAACAAGTACATCTCCACACTAAATTACAGCCCCTATATCAATAGTGAAATGCAGCTGATGTAGATAAGATGAATAAGTGTTTCAATTTTCTATATATATTTATAAAATCTATCAAATGGGTTGGCTGTAGAATAGGAAAGCATGGTGAGCTTTTTATCAAATAATTAACAAAAGTAGAATGGATGTAGGAATAAGGAGTAAGGATGCAAGAATAACTCCTAGATAAACTGGAGTTGTTGTCTGCAGGTGTTTATATCCAAGGGAGGTCAAGAGTTGCCCTTTTTGATAAACCAGAGGAGAATTAGCAGGATTGTTTTAGAGCATTATTCTAGGTGTGAATGTGTGAAGTATGATATTTGTCAGTTCACAAATGAAGTGGAACTCTGTTGCACTTCACAGAAAATATTAAATCAAATACCAGGCTTCCTTTTACACATGAATAACCTATTACACAGTAAATCAGTCCTGAAAGAAAAAGAAGGTGGCAAAAGACTTTGCATATTATGTAGGCCCAAAATGCCAAGCCATCAATGAAACATGTAAACACATGGGTCTCACTAGCAATGATTCATCTCACATTTTTTAGGACTGTTTGAAGCACTCCTTCAGTTTCATGGCTTATTCTGCAGAAATACTGATTGGTTGCACTGATGCGAACATGCATTGCTTTGATGTGAGGAAGAAACCATTCTGAATAAAAAAGAATTAACAGGTTTCCTTCAATCTGCAAGCATTGCTTAGAGCTAGAATCAAAGTTAGTAATAAAATTGATGGATTTAATGGCATCCAGTTTAAACTACATGGCTATATGCAACCAAATAAGCTACACCTCCAAAAAAAATCAAAATTATAAGACATATTAAAATACAAAAGCTTATTTACTAGCATGGATTATATTAAATTGTGAACATAAGGGTTTTTAATGCATATTACTGTAGAGATATTAGGATAATAGGCCTTCCAAGAGTTAATTTATTGGACTGGATCAGGTATAAGTGAACAATTTCATCAGGCTTTAATCAGTTTCTTCTCCAAACCTGTCAACTGTGGAAATTTCATAGTTTATCTAAGTAATTTGTTGAAGTATTTAACTACATTATTAGACCAAAACTTTGTTTTTCCTAATACTGGACATCAACCCACTCTGTTACAAGCAAAACTGATACTCCTTGGAGTAACCTTGGTGGATATAGGGAAAAGTCATCACAGTTCTTTTACGAACAACATTTACAGGTTTGAAGAAACTGTAATTTTCCCTACCAAATTTTCTCTCATTTTCCTAAACTCAACCAACCAAACATGGAACTTATTTCTCTGTTGCTCCTGTCCAAACTCGCACACGTTTCTCTCCATCCTTGCTGAAGCACTGCAGCTGGGTCCCAGCACTGCTGAGCACCCAGTAACTGCCTCCCTGTGGGGCTCTAAGCCTCTCATTAATACTTTTATAGCAGGAGATTTACCTTTTTCTGCTACAGCACTGCAACCAGCTCAGCTGTTCCACATTGTTGATACCTTATCACTCGTTTCCCATTTGGCATCTGTGTGGTTGACTTTTCCTTTGTAAGTGCAGTATTTATTGTCTTTACTCAATTTTGTCTTATGGATTTCCAACTGTTTCACCCATTTATCAAAAAAAAAAAAAAAAAAATTCATTCTAAGCCTGCTTGCACTGTCTCCAAATGTGATATTGTTCAAAAATGTGACATCTCATTGCCTAAGACATTAATGAAAGTAGTGAATAGTAGAAAAATCAGGGCCTATGGGTACTCACATTGACAACAAACTATTGATAAAATTATTCATTGATAATGCTTCTCAGACAGGCCTACCCCCTTACTTTGTTCATCTGACCCAGACTTATTGGCATAATTCTCTGCACCTAGTCAGAAGCCCCCACAAAATAAAAATGTATCTGTTTATGGTGGCTAGAGTGGCTGCTAACCATATTTTGCTTAAGGGGCTTATAAGCTGATTATTTATTAATTTTTCTTAGTGTCTTTCCAGATGCCAACTTAGTCTGAATCTTTAGCTGTTATTCCCTTGCTTCTCCTGTTTTTCTCATCTAAAGATATATATTATGTTTATTGGGACTATTTCTGTCTACATCTTTAAGTACACTGGGGTAAACCTTATGAGGCCCTGCTGACCTGGATAAGCTGTTTCATGTAAAGCTCCTCTTACATGCTAAGGGTTTCCATATGGTGAGTTAATGCACGGTAGCTGGAATACCATTAATTTAAATCCCAGTTTATTGCCCAGTCATTTAACCTTGTAAACAGGCCCTAAATCTGACTTTCCTGAATCTAAATACTCACTTCCTTCCCTCTTTTCCCTTGAATTCCTGTTCCCTTGCTAATTCCTATCACGTTAAGCCTTTTGTCATATTTAACCTTTCTGAGAAGACTGCAGAAAAGGCACTGAACACGTTAGCCTTGCCTGTGTCATCTGTAATCCTCTCTTCTTAGATTTACCACCATATTTTTCTATGGGAGTTAAAGCTCTTGCTTTGCTCTGCTTCTGTAATGAATCTTCAAATAGTGGGAAAAATACAGTAGTAGTGGCCTGCAAAATTTGTCAAGAAATGTGGATTAAATTGGAGCTGGACAGCCTCTTCCCTTCCCCCAGCAGCAGCTGACAAGGGATGCTCTAGGTGACCTCACCTGCGGCTCACTCAGTCTTGCCAGCCTCCCTTTCCTGGGGAAAGAGATGCAATGTAATTGCCCTTTTTCCAGTTCAGAAGAGTGATTTCCTCCTTTGAACTTCATTTCTGGTCTTAACTTAGTCTCACAAAATTAGAGTGAAAGATTCATTTTGGTAATATATTTTTCAGAGTATAGGCTGAACACACTAAGAAGATAGATACAGGGAGCTGGAAATAAAAAGCTTCACTGCAGAACTCCTTTTTTCTACAAACTAAACAGTGTCTGGAGTCTGGTTTTGCCAGTACATTTGGAAAAGCTGGGCTGCCCATATTTGTTTAATAAAGTTATTCCCCTTTCTCTGCTGTAATCTTTGGTATAGTTCCCTTTTGTGCAGTTACAATTCCTGGAGGAACAATATACATTTTCCCAAATTATTCATCATCTACCTCCTAGTTCTCACATCTATATTGCCAAGTGATTTGCAATTCATTTTCTGACATTTTTGGTTTACTTTGTTTTGGAGTTCTGCTAAACAAAGCCTGCCAAAAGCATTCCTCAGAAGGCTAATGAACTTGCTAGAATAGCAATCACTCTCTTAGAAACCTTTTGCGTATTTTTAATTTGTATTGACTCCTTGAGAGATTCAGATAATTTAGCAAGTTTCATGGCAGACATGAAGACAAATGCTCCTGCTGACTTTTACTTTCAAAAGAGTCATTACAGCCCATTTGTTCATGGCTGGAAGGGGTGACCCAGTAAAAACCCAGACTAAACAGGCCTCTCCTCCAGTGGAACCACAGCTACCAAAAACGTTGACCTGTGTCCCAAAAGCAACTAATATAATCACTGCATCATTTGTACAATGGGGAGCTTTCCAGAAAGATGAAAGGTATATTGCAACAGTTGTCTTATCTGATACCATCATGTTTTCCTTGTTGTTTATCTTTTCTTTCTAAATGGATTAAAGTAACAGCATTAATTAAGCCGACAAAATTAATTTAAGCTAAACAATGTTATCTGGTTAGATATAAACGGTACATAATATTACACTATGAGCTAACATGGTGCTGTATTTTCCCCAAAACAGTTTAAAAATTAATGCAGTAGGCTTGCCTGTCTGTTGAATGTTTATTCTAAGGCATAAAGGTAGTGAGAACTCTAGCTCCTATCAGAAAATGATAATTAAAAAGACAAACCTTACAGCAGACATTTTTAACACTGGAATTTACCAGTGAATTGAACTGCAACAGGTCATGCATTCCCTGTGAATGAATCCAGTGACTGACTTCCAAATATATAACATACTATTGATTTCAGAACAGCCTGAAAACACAATATTTTTTTTAATAAACAATTTCTCATATTATGCAACACTTTGCTGCAGTTACTGACTTTAACATCACAATTACTTTGCTCATATATCTATATGATATATCTTCTCTGTATATCTGTATATCTGTATATCTCAATATCTTCTCTATAAGTAAACAGGACTTAAGAGAATAACTGATTTGGAAATTACAGTGTTCTTCTCTAGCTCTTTTAAGAGTTTCATGACCACAAGAAACCAAAAAGTCCTCTCTGATATGTTTTGACTTCATCTGACATACTCCTTCATGATGGGGCTTCTGGGCGATTGCAGACACGTCTGTGTAGCAAGAATACTTAGAAATTTCTGTCCTGTTTTGTACTATATATATGTTCCAATGTTTTTCACATTTTTACCAAAAGGAAGCAGTATGGGAAATTTGCAGCATTTCATGTTTCATTACACTTCCTATCTTATATATATACATACATATGTATATGTATATACATTTACACACACAAATATATATATATCTAAAGTAAAAATATGTATTTTAGTATAATTATGTATACAGACATATGGAAATGTGCAGTATGAGACAAGCATGAACCCAAACATTTTTATTTGACCTCAAAAATATGTATTACTCTTCCAGATATTACACACAGTTTTTTCCATGTAAAATAAATCTTTACTCTAACTAAACCTGTCTAAACCCCAGCAGGCACTTGTAGAAGTACCCTCTCTTTTCATATAAAATAAATGTGCCATGTACTATACACAAATAAACAACTGCTTCCCAGATAAATCACTATCAAAAACTAAGGTAAAGTATTTTAGAGTCAAAGAGGGAAGTAACATTTGGATACATGATGCTAATATCAAGGATAACTTGTCATATCAAATACAGATATATCAAGATTAAGGAGCACCTTTCTTCTTGCCCTGAATAATAAATTAATATCAACATTTTTATGTGCTTTCTAATACAGCTTTCTATAAAACTGCCCTTCAAAATGGGTTCTTAAATCTATATGCTAGCATAAAATAAAGCTTTTCATATCATCTATTATCTTGTTTTGGGATAAAGAAAATTCACTCATGTATTTAAACCAAGATGATATTCATGGGCAACTTCTGCTGTATGAAAATGGGATAAGTGCACTGAAACGTTTTCAGGCAAGAAGCCAACAATCTCCATGCGTTATGCAGAAGTGGCAGAGTGATTTTTTTAAGGCACACCTGCTTTAGATGAAAGAAATTGAATTCCAACTCCATAACTGTCAAGCGCCACCGCAAATAATAGAGCCTAAGCCGAATCATTTCAGCAATATAGCTATTTTCCTGTTGAAGCGATGGAGCAGAAATCAGCTTTAGCTAGATGATATCACTTCATGTGCATGCTTTGGAAACAGTTCCATTCATCATTTCACTGCTTAAACCCTTTCAAAAACATGTTCTTCATTCCCTGGTTAATAAAAACTTTGGTTACCTGAGTCAAAATTGCAAAAAAAAAAAAAAAAAAAAAAAAAAAAAAAAGTGGATTGTAATTTCGCCATAATTACTTAAAAATTCCAAGGAAAATACAGTAACTACAATAAATCATTTGAACCTTGCACATAATATTTCTTACATGACACCACACGCATAAGGCTGTTTCTTCTATATTCCCTTAAGCAGCTGAATACTCATTTCTTTTTTTGCAGCTACCAATAGGATGAAGATAACATAACAGCAGGACAATGAAGACAATCATTTGGGTATTGATAATCTGGCACTGACTGCATTTTTTGTTTGGGAAGATATAGTGTGAAGAAATTGCTAGTTTTCTCCCTTCTGCCCTCATATAATCACACAGAAGAATAAAAAACACTTAGCCACACGTCAATAGAACTAACTTTATTTTCAAAACCATCTATGGCTAGGCTCAAATTCATGAACTGCAGCTGTAATGTCACCATCACAGTGACTGCTCCTGACCACAATGTCATTTTTAAATGATACAGAACATTTACAAAGAGTTTTAGTGCCCTGTCGTTCTGCTTTCATGAAAATCAGAAGACATTTATAAACTTCCTCATTTCTTCCCATTTTTTAAACAGGTTTGTTTACTCACAGCCCAGAGAAAAATAAATAAAAAAGATACTGCTTCTACTGAGAAATTTCAGAGACTACCAAGGGAAAGACCTCAATAACATTTAACTAACACTAACTCCAGTTATTTTAATTCATCATTCCGCTGAGTAACTGCTAAAGCTAAATGCTTTAGTTTTCTAGGTTGCTAGTGTGCCAGCATTTAATTAAGGAGGTATCAATACAGTGCCTGTTGAAATGCTGGCATTACTTGCATCTGCACCTGAGTCCTCCTTTGCCCTCAGTCACAGCTATACATTGCTCCTGAGCAAGTCAACTGTTGACATGCTAAAGGTACATGAGCACCCACGTAGTCATCTTACCTTAATCCCTCAAAACATTTTACAAAACTAGTTTTTGAATCATACAATAGATGCTTACTGAAATGCCGGGAAATCTAGATGCTCTCGAAAAGACACATTCTAATCTGAAAATTCAGATTATTATTTTTAGATTTTTTTTTGTCTCACCTTACAGTGGCTAAAAGATGAGTAGCTTTTTAGATCTGGGTGCTTCATCACACGATGTGGCACTGCCATGGGATGTGATGGAGAGGTGGCAGAAAACCCAGAGAAGAGATGGAAGGAGTGCAAGGTGGGGAATAAGAAAACCGATTGTAAGTTAACTTGGAAAAAAAGGGTTTTAAACTGCCACCACAGACAACTTTCAAGTTCAGTAAGGTAAAACCCAAACAATCTTCTGGGCATTCATGTTATCTTTACATTTCTCTTACTGGAAGATTCAGAGCAACTGTAGATCAAAACCTATGTGCCTTTATGCAGGAATACAGGAGTTCTGACATTCCCTCACTCTTCCAGAAGTAACTTAAAGTGAACAATCACACAAGTAAGGATTTTTTGATTGAACCTTCAGGGCTGCAACAGTAACTAGATGTAAGATTTGATCTGACCCTTGCTGTCAATTTATAAGAATAAAAAATACTGACTCTAAGACCTTAGAAGGACTGCAAATTAAGTGATGAAAAAGCTAGGAAAATTGCCAGTACTAACTCACAGAAACATTCCTCCTCTCTTTTGCCCAGCTCATAATAGTGACTTTTTTTTTTCTCCATGTCTAACTTTGTATATAGCAAAATGCTTTTCAATGTATCCATTCTAATTTCCAATAAACGGTTTTTCTATTATTTGTTTCTAAAGTCTTGCTTTTCATTTTGTGTTAGGAGTAAATCCAGTATAAGTAGTTTCCCAAATGCAAATATATATATATACATACATATACATGTGTGTGTGTATATATAAAATTACACTTGCCCCAGTCTTTGCAAGTTTCTTACTAAATCACCATTTAGTTGAAGGACCAGTCTTCAAATATATGTGCTACATTAAGAAAAAAAAAAAAAGTCTTAATGTCTTAATTCCATACAGATCTAGACCACAATTAGTAATGCTAATATGAATTTAAGTTTTTAGCATTCACATTAACAGTTCCAGGAAGACATTAATACTAGAACAGAACGTTGGCACCAGATAAGTATCTACAAGATTAAATTTAGCGTGGCAATTACGGTTTTCTTGAAGTACAGATCCAATCAATAAAAAAGATTTCTATTACCTTGCCTCCATAATGTCTACAAGAGACAGTGCTAATGAACAAAATCCCTTGCCAAGATTGGATTTGAAAGCCTAGAACAGCTTTCAGTGCCGTACAGCTTCATACTATATTTCTAGGAGTGACTATTTAGGACAAGGTACATCTCATCTATTTTTAGAAAATTAGCAAGTTCTTTTGCATCCTTGAGGATAGCTTATGCGTGCTTTTAAAACAGAAGCAATTGCTGATAGGCAGCAACACTCAGGTCACTCTCTGACATCAGACTGCAGGTAACGTACATACCATAGTTTCACAGATCACATCAGAATAACTCTCCTTTCCAAGGATGAATTTTAACACTGCTCCTTTTCTCTTAGACACTTCAGCACTTAACTGTTTTTCTTCCCCTGACTGCTCATTATGCCACGAGATATGGCAATGGCTGCATTCTTTCTTAACTTGAGCTTTAAGCATGATATAGAATAATGTAAGAGATGTAAATATAAAGATTATAAATGAAAAAAAAAAATTTGTAGAATTCTACAGGTGTTTTACAATGTATTGGAAAATAAACAATCAGGATATTTCTTGCAAATATATGGTCTTATTTTTTTTCTAAACTTTCCCTTATAAGCCATTCTTCCAACTGTTATGTGTCCACAAGGACTCCAAGAAGTTTAAGGCAGGAGTCAGTCTTATTAATTGTACTCTACCAACAAAAGGTACCAGGCCTTGTTACTTAAAGTTCTAAGTTATTTACTTCTAGCTCCTAATTATCATCATGACTTCTAATGCACTCTGTTTGCTAAAGACTTATTTCAAAATCCTGTTAAACCCTCAAATAAATTGAAATAAATTGAGCACCATAAATCATGATCTCTTGTTATGGGAATAACAAACAGAAGCATTAGGCAGAAGGGGGAGTGTTTTGTTTGCTTTGTTTCATTTTTGCTAAATGTAAACATTTTTAAGAGCACAATCGTTGGCAGATTTAACTCATTCATGCCTTATAATATTCACGTAGATGTTTAAACATTAAAGACATGGCTATATTGTTTTTGAATTTTCATTGGCTTTGATTTCAAAATAGAACATGTCACTAATGCTTTTTCTGCCCAGAAAGCAGGAGACTGCAACAAGTAGGAATTTTTGTACCTAGTCATCATTATTAAAATAAAATAAAAAAGATGGGGGAGAGGGGCTATATGCATCACTGCATATATGTATGCATGCACATATATACGTATATCTGTAATTTATCAGCTGAAAACCTCCTAGAAATTGCTATGAAGCAAAGAAAACACTTTTAAAGAGAAAATATCCATGCTAGCTGGCATTTCAGCAGAAAAATATTATATTCTTCTCCTCATTTAAAAGGGCTTTTTTGCTCACATTAGGAAGTGGAGTTGAAAGAAGTGAATCTACTCCCTGCAGGATGGTAGTGGATACTGCATCTTAATTCCTTTTAGAGTGAATTTTGCTCCAGAAATGTGCCACTTTCAGGGGCCTGCAGATGTAATTCCTTGGTCTATCCATAAACAAGTACAGCAGTGGCTAAACAACAGAAGCCACTAATCCTGTCCTAGACAGCCCACCCAGAAGGGAGGGAAGCATGGCCTGGTCTCTATGTGTATTTAATGCTTCATCCCCCTGCCAGAAAACCCCATTCTACATGGATCACTAAGAAAACAGCAGATGATGGATTGAGACGAGTACATTTTTGGGCTCAATTCAAGCTGGTGACATACCGGGAGGGCCTGCCAACCTATATATCATGTCCTAGATAAAAAAAAGACTTTACAATACTCCACATACATAAATAAACAAACAGAATTATTCAGAAAATTATTTTCACTTTAAATAATTTAACTACAAAAGCTGTAGAGCATGACATGCTCTGTGGGCATAATACGACATCTTTATGCTCAATTAAATTTTTAACATTAATATCATTTGGAGAAGGAGTAGGCAAACATGATTATACATGGTATGCGTAACAATATGTACCTCTAAGATTACAGTTTATACTTCTGCAAAGTAATTCATACTCAGAAGCTCTGAGGATGAGCTGTCACATCCAAAATTCATGTTTGTTATTAAGAACAAGCTTTCATTGTCACAGCACGTGAAAACTAGAGCTCCGGATCTGATCCTCAGGCACTGGTGAGGCAGGCTAAGAACAAGAAGGTGGTTTCAGCCTTACAGGCCATGAGCTAACGTCACTCTTGCTCCCATATTTCTAACAGCTGACATCTGGGAGACTTGACGTTAGGCCAGTTTCCCTTAGGAAGAGTAAAGCACGGCACAGATTCAGCTTGTGATTTATTTAAGCAGGCTATAAGACTTGGGTTGAGAGCAGATGCAGGTAGGCAAGCACACAGGAGCTCCTCCTGCAGAGAGACCGGCAGGCTCTTCCTGACCTAAGTCTTGTGCCTAGGTTCGTTCTGCCTCTGCCCTCCTAAATCTCCTTTTCTTCCACTGTCTCACTCAGTTCTGAATTAGACTCTAGGCTCTTCAGTCTTGGAAGGACCATGTCTTCCCTTCGCCCTGGTGCTGAAGCTTCTCCATCCCCACCTCCCAGGCCCCTCCAGCAACTGAAAGAAAAGACAGAAGGTGCTTCCGAGGAAAAACCCTCACCAGACAAATACTCAGTCTGAACCAGCAACAACTTTTATCCTAATGATCATAATTTTGTCAAAAATGTTTGCACTAACTACTCTCTGAATTTTACACTTCTGTCATGATAGCGTTCCCAATGGGATCAGCCAATTTTCCAACTGATTTCTTTGATGCCTGGAAGACTTTTTGTGTGTAGGGTTTCAGTTTCAGTTTCAACATGTAACTTGCTGGCATTGTTACTGTCACTGGGAGGTAGGAATTACTGTTGTGAAAAGCTTAATGAGAGAATACTGATGTTTTTAATCAGTTTGCTTTAGAGAGAGAAGAAGGAAACGCTTCAGGTCTGCACTAAGGTCTCCTTTTTTCCCCCAAAGCAGACTTGGGCACGCATTACCCATGATTGATTTATAAGACTACTGGTGTTGTCTGGGGGTCTGTGTCAGGTGTAAAAGATTTGTCCTAATGGGGTTGCAAAACTACATTACCCGATTCAAAAGCTGCATGCCATCCTGATACTCTTGATGTACCAAGCCACCAGAGGTTATCAAAAACATCAACGTACACGTGTCCAAGAGAGTACAGGCAAGCCGTTGTGATCACCAAGCCTGGTTATTTGCTGGCACAAAATGAAGTAGTCTAGTGTTTAATACCACTAGCCACTATCAACCTTACACTTTCATTCACCCTTTAATACAGGGACCATTTCAAAATCTTTCTCCTGCTATTAATACACTTTTAAAAGCTTACGCCCTTATACACCAAGCAATCATTTTCCCCTCAACAGCTATGACCTGCCATCTCTTTACCAGACCAAATTGCTGAAAAAGGCTGGAGGTTCATGAAGGGAAGTGGCAAGAAGAAACTGCGGAGATTTCCTGCAAGAGCTAAAAATGACCAAAATACTATTTACATGCAAAAGGAAATTCAAAACTGGCTTTATTCTCTATTTCTTCATACATAACAAGAAAATTAGAAGAAAATAAAAAATGAAACGAGGAGAAAAAAAAATCTTCTTTACGAAAACTATTTTTGCAACTTCTATTTGGAAACATCTGAGAATGAAGAGACAACTTCAGATGTCAGTACAGACTGGGTGATGAGTGGATTATGAGCTGCCCTACAGAGAAGGACTTGGAGGAAATGGAGGACAAAAAGCCTGACAGGAGCAAGCAGTGTGCACTTGCAGCCCAGAAAGCCAACTGCTCCTGGGTTGCACCTAAAGCAGTGCGGCCAGCAGGGCCAGGGAGGGAATTGTGCCTCTTTGCTCTCCTGAGGCCCCAGCTGGAGCCCTGCATTCAGTTCTGGGGCCCCCAGCACAAAAAAGACAGGGACCTGTGAGAACAAGTCCAGACCAAGGCCACGAGTAGGTGGAGTCGATCAAGGGGCTGGAGCACCTCTGCTACTAAGAGAGACTGAGAGAACTGGGGTTATTTAGCCTGGAGAAGAGAAGGCCCCAGGAAGAGTTTATGGTGGCCTTCCAGTACCTAAAGGGGCCTACAGGAAATCTGGGGAGGGACTCTTTGTCAGGGAGCATAGTGATAGGACAGAGAGTAATGGTTTTAAACTAAAAATGGGTAGATTTAGATTAGATAAAGAAGAAATTGTTTGCTATGAGGGTGATGAGGCCCTGCAACAGGCTGCCCAAAGAAGCTGTGGCTGCCCCAAGGCTGGTCTGGTGGGAGATGTCCCTGCCCATAGCAGGGAAGGTGGAGCAGGATGGTCTTTAAGGCGCGTTCTGACATAAACCATTTTGTGATACTGTGATTCTATGACAGAAGCAGTGAGTGAAACAGCATTATTATAAATCATAGAATCAGAGAATATCCTGAGTTGGAAGGGACCCACAAGGATCACCCAGTCCAACTCCTGGCACCACACAAGTCTACCCAGAAATTCAGACCCTGTGACTTAAGTTCACAGTCCAAACACTTCTTAAGTTTCAACAGGCTTGGTGCCGTGACTATGTCCCTGGGC